AATCACAAATTTTAATATTTCCATTATGAATGAGAATATTTTAGAAATATTAATGTTGGTTATTATTATTAAAAATGTAAAAATAATTAAATGTAAATAAGTAATGTATATACATACCAGATCTCTATGTATTATTTTATTTTCATACAAATGACTTGCAGCACTTACAAATTTTAATTTAGTATTCCAATCCATTATATTTTTTAAATATTCGTATAAATTACCATTACTTGCATACTCTAATACAAACATGCAAATTTTTTTTATGTTTTTCTTTAATGATATGTAAAAAAATAAATTAACAATAAATATACTTAATTTAATATTAATATGTTACTGTGAAGTTTTACTTTACAATATTGTTTTGCCTTTATAAAAATCAATTATAGATGTTTTGTTAGTGTATAATAAACTTGTTAGATAAAAAAATTATTTACCTTATTGAGAAGTTGTTCAAAAGTATATTTTGGTCGATATTAATCCCACAAATCCTTGAGAATTTTTTAAAGATGCGTGAGAAATTGTGTCAAATGATTCATCAGCAAAAATTCAAAATTATAATCATAATCATGGAATTCTAAAATAGATTCTGCATTTATTTTTTTAATGGTAATTCTAATGATTTTAATGGTAATTTGAAGCTTATTATTCTTTTTTGTTTTTTTCTTTTGTTGTGATCTCTTCCCCTTCTCCACTTTGCTTTATCATTTGAACAACTACGTAAAGTGGTCTTTCTACATTTATGAATGTTTTTGTTGACCTTCAATAAATTTCTGCTGCAGCTTTTATAAATAATTTAATATTAAAAGATATAATAACACATTATAAAATTTGAAAAATAATTGGGAAAATAGTATTCGTGTTATTACTCGTGCAATAGTGAATTGGTAGCGAGTTCGATGCCCATCGAGCACACGATGCGAAGACATGGGTCCAGGTCGATCGTAAAGATCCTTTCATGAGTTGTGCGAGTCTAACTTAACTAAGTCCCCACAATCATGCATGATTATTTTTAAAAAATTCGATGTATATATGGTGAATCTCAATTTAGTGTAATGAAGTAAAAAATAAGAAATTATGTTGTTTAAAAGCGAGAGAAAAAATTTGGATTTTTTATTTATTTGTTATTATTATATTTTATAATTATAAAAATTAAAATTAAAAAAAAACAAGAGAATGAAAAAATAGGTCATAAATTGAGTGGATTGTCGTAATTGTTGTTGTAATTGTTGTTGTTGTAGGTGGTGTATTTGTAGTTGTTGTAGTTGGCATAATTGCTGTAAAGACCGAATTTCATATTGGTGTAAATTAAGTTGTCTTCTAATTGGTGGTTGTCATGGTCGTCTAACTACAGTTGTAGGAGTAGGAGTTGGGAAAAGTTGAGGTGGTTGTGATAAAGGAATGAATTGTTGATGCATTAAAAATGCTAACGAATTGTGGTTGTTGTTATTATTCATTTTTGTTGATATTTTGCAAATTTAATTAATTATTTTATAAACTTTTTATCTTTTAAATTTTTTTTTTGATTTTTGACAAAATGTTAGTATTAGATTAAAAAAATTACAAGTTTAAATATTAAATTAAAATGAACTTTAAAAAAATCCTGAAAATTACAAAAACTGTTTAAGGATCAAATTTTTATTACTAAAATCTATCAATTACTTTTTTAATTTGTAACTGTACGCGAAAAAAACTTGTAAACAGACAGATATGTTAAAAAGACTCATTTTTAAATAATTTGTTTAACAAATAAATTACTTTTTATGTCGAATGAGATTTTTCCATTACCAAATAAAGATATATTATACAATTTAAATTTTGCATTATTATTTGTTTGTTTAATTGCTTTATATTGTAATGTTTATTTCTTATCTAGTCCAATAACATGAGTGACAAGATTTTGTTACTATTGGTATTAAATATATACTGATATGTCAAATGATATCATTATAATATAATTAATAAATAATTTATTTATTTACCTACAACATCCATACGAACAAGTTGTTAGTTATCATAATCACAAAGTAATTACCTCTTCTCCAATATTTGTGAACGTTAATTATATATAAGTTAATTAACATTCACGATTCCTATCTAAAAAAAAATTTCCTTCTGCCCTCTGCAGAATTTTCGGGACCATGCATTTTTCGCGAAGATGCTTTAAAAAAGTAGATTAATTATTATCATCTCATTTTTTTTTATAATTGGTGTATTATTGTTACATGCTTATGTTATCTAATTCTTTAATATATATCTTTATTTACATTGTAAAAATCAAATGTTTTATTTCTCACGGCCAAATTTAGATGTGATTTTAGAAGATCGTAATGATCCTAGTGGCCAAATTCGTGAACATAGTAAAATACATGTTCTAAAAATTTTTTAACAAAATCTTTTTATTACATTGAAACTAAAGACTATTCTATCGCTATTTTTTAAAAGGTAGGACAGAAAGTGACTTCTATACTTTTTAAAATTTGCGCAAGATTTAGGATGTCTTTAGACCGAGCCAACTATGCTTCGTATGATGCTTTTGGTAGATAAAAACGGACGGTCTTTTTTTTTTAATGGTTAATATTAGTATTGGTTGCTTATCCCCCCCGTTGTATGTGAAATTGAATCTATAAAATGTGGAATAGGGTATTTGGATATGAAATTCTGATTGGCTGAATTCACATAAATTTTCATTTTCCCCAAAAATTTTTTTTTTGCCTTTTATTTGTCTAAACATAAAAAATATAAAATTTTATTTGAAAAATACTTTTTTAAACAATGAATTTAGCTTATATGCCAGTCATTATCTTTTTATGTTATAGAATCAATATTACCATATTAATATAAGATTGAATTACACAATACATAATAATGACACGAAATCATTTTTACGAATTCGGATCGATTTAATATTAATTCGGTTAATAGTGAATCTAATATGAATTAATAAATAATAAATTTTAATAAATAATATGGCCCATATTAATTTAAGATTAATTACACAATGCAATAGTATTCGGGTTAATAGTAAATCCAATTTTATAGGCTATAATAGAATTAAATTTTTATTTAGTTTTAAAGTTGATCGATGTGTTAGTGTAACCCACACTATACAACAATGTCATGTGCATAACTTGTGGCCACGTGATCAAATCAAACCCAGCTGGAAGAAATAATTTTTTTTTAACAAAGAAATGTTATTATCTTTTCTAGAGATAAACTGTAGAATCACAATTGGTCAATTAATTAATTTATTCCATCAATATTATATGTATATGCATTATAATATCATATTTGTATGTTTTAATTACACTCCAATAATAAATATGATAAATATATAATAATAATAACCTTTTCCAGCAAAAACAGTCTTCGAGGTCATCTGACCAAATTTGATGTTTTTTTTTATAATATGAAATAAAGATTTAATTTATAATATAAGGCTAGATATTTTAATATTAAGTAATAAAGAATATTGAGAATAATCAAAGGGGTTTAATTTTTTTGGAGTTTATTTTTACATATTTTTATATAACCATTCCACATATATTTATATGAATCTTATTGATATTTAAAGTTGAGAAATGATCGACATAATATAAAAGGAATGTGGTTTTGTACTCAGCCCTGATCATTCCTTAAATATCGTCATAAAGGCTTTTTACGTTCTTTTTGAGCAATTTTTGTAATTCTTTATTTTTATTATTGGACATCAAATGTTGTATTTAATCCCTCTTTTTTTTTTGCCTTTTTAGTTCTTCAATTATTTGCTCATAATGCCAATGTAAATATATCCTCTGTCTTCTGATTTTATTTGTGTATCTGACAACTCTCTATAAGCTGTGTTTCTGGATCTGGTAAAGGAGTTTGGGTTCGTTGTGTCTTAATCTTTTTATTTTGATTATTTTTCTTCAGTTTCTTCTAAAGAAATCAAATTATCTTTTTTTTTTGCAAATCTCCGCATTAGATTCATTTTTGTTCCACGTAATGAATGTTTTGTGGCGTGGGACTCAAATAAACAATGTAATTCACTAGTAGCTAGTCTTGATTTTCCAAATGGGAAAGAGGATTGATTTGGAAGAATTCGTTGTTGATGTCGCAATTGTAGCTGACGTTGTTGTTGTTATAATTGGTTTAGTACAATATTTAGTTGGGGAGAATAATGCGTTTTAATTTTTTGAAAAAAAACTTTAGAAGCAAAAAAAAAATAACTCTCATATCATGGCGCACAAATTTATTACGAAAAATATTCTGAAATTAGTTAAATTCTAAATATCTTTTAGCCTCTAAAAAATTATTTATTTTAGTCTTGTGATACTGTTGTGGGGAAAAGAAACAATAATGACCATGTTTTTTCTTTGTTTTTTTTTATATTCATGAAAAATTAACAATTCTATATTTGTTATATACCTAAGCCACTAAGCATGATATACTTTCCTTTTAACAAATTAGATCGAAACTTTGAACGTTCTTTTCATAAAATTACTATTATACACGTATATGTACTGTATCATCTGTCCTAGTTTCCCTTTTTGGACTTAAACTAATTTGGAAAATTTGATTATCCTATTACTATACTTGCCGCCCAAACTCAAAAGGCCCAATTCCAACCAAATTCCAAAATCCGAATCTATAAATTGGTCTTGTATGAATTAGTAAATTAATTAGCTTTTTTAAATAATTCCTTCTTCTAATCCCTTTAAGTTATATGGCGAATAGTTTTAGACTGAATTGGATTATAAAAAAGGCTTTGATTAAGGAATAATACGAAAAATGAACGCCTAGACATTCTTTCCCATAATTTTGAAATAATATGGTAAATACGACAATAGCGTCATATGTTAGCTGATTTCTGGACGCTAGAATTAATTAAGATAAAAAATTATATATAAATAATATTAGGACTCCTAAAAAATAAAATTTTAATCACAAAATCGATTTCAAAAATTTTTATTTTGAAATTTGGTCTTAAAAATTTATCAAAACGATCAATGAAAAATACAATGTTGGGATCTCTTTTCACCATTGCAAACTTGTCAAATGGCAAAAAAATTACGATTTATGCGCCTGGTCTTGAAAAAGCACAAATACTTGTTGAAAATAACACAAATTCGGATTTACCACCTGCACAACTAATTTTCTATCTTACCTTATTAAATGAGCTTGCAAAGCAAGTTCCTAATTTTGATATTAGTAATGTGGAATTGGCAAAGGTTTTTACTAATTCTTGGAGGAATTCTAGCCTTGAATACACAGACGAGTTTGTCATTTTGGCAGATAAACTTGGACTTAATTAAATATCCAACTCGAAAGTTGGATATCGGTTATATATTATCTCGGCAATCGGCAATAATATTTTAAACACACACAAACAATATTTCGAATCCCTCGATTACTTTTCTTGTTATATACAATAAACTCCTAATTTTAGAGGAATTATACACACAAACGAACATATTACTCGATTAAATACTCAACTCGAAAGAAATCGGTCGCCTTTACATAATATTATTTTACATATATATATAAATAAGTTTTACGTAAAAATATACTGCAAAATCGATTTTTATTTTAAATTTGGTCTTAAAATTTTTAAAAATCTATCAAAACGATCAATTAAAAGTACGATGTTGGGGTCTCTTTTCACCATTGCAAAATTGTCTAATGGAGAAACCATAGCAATTTATGCGCCTGGTCTTGGAAAAGCACAAATACTTGTTGAAAATAACGCAAATTCGGATTTACCACCTGCACAACTAATTTTTTATCTTACCTTGTTAAACGAGCTTGCAAAGCAAATTCCTAATTTTGATGTTAGTAATATGGAATTGGCAAAGGTTTTTACTGATTCTTGGAGGAATTTCGGCCTTGAATACACAGACGAGTTTGTCATTTTGGCAGATAAACTTGGACTTAATTAAATATCCAACTCGCAACTTGGATATCGGTTATATATTATCTCGGCAATCGGCAATAATATTTTAAACACACACAAACAATATTTCGAATCCCTCGATTACTTTTCTTGTTATATACAATAAACTCCTAATTTAGAGGAATTATGCACACAAACGAACATATTACTCGATTAAATACCCAACTCGAAAGAAATCGGTCGCCAATTATTTTTTGGTAATTTTTTCTTGATCGTTAAATTCGCAAAAACAAACAATTTCGTTGAAAAATTATTTTATTTTATTTTATTTTTGATTTTAAGATTTTTAATTACAACTTTACTTTTTTTATTAAAACTATCATCAGGAAAATAAATCTCATGTAAACCTACGTAGGGTTTAAAACTGACCAGCATTATGCGGAAATGTTAAC